GAGTCGCTAACCCAAAAAAAAAAAAAAAAAGCTGGATTTATTGAGAGGGCAGAAAAGCTCAGAGTGGGAGGTGACCCTAGGGGGTTGCCCTGTGGCTGCTTCCATGTCACAATGACAGAGTTGCAGAGTGGCAACAGAAACCTCAGGACCCACAAAACCAAAGAGATCGACTATCTGACCCTTTACGGATCAAGCTTACCCACCTATGGCCTAGAAGGAACCTTGAAGGTCACATAGCCCATCTCCCAACTTCTAAAAACTCCAGTCATTCCTGACTGCAAACCTCTCACACCTAGGAGTCAGACTACTCCCCTTCCAGGGAAACCCTAAGAAAGGGGCTCGCCCCACCTAGGGAGCCAATTTCCATTTTTCAAGAACCCCAGTGTGAGGAAGCTCTGTCTACCCTGCAGCTACAGGTCCTTTCCTTGAGCCCTCACTGCCCACTTCCTGCCATCCAAGGCCAACCTGGTCACCCCAAATCGAGTTCTCAGCTCCCAGTCTCTGTCTCCAGGAAGCTCATCCCCAGGGCCTTTGCTGCTGCCTCCACCCAGGGCCTGAATCCCCTCCCAGTCCGGGCGGCTGCTCCTCCCTGGCTGTATCCACCATGAACAAGGCTCCCTGACCCCCTGCTTTGAATGCTGCAGCCTGAGGTTATACCCCACACACCCCCAGCCCCGGCATCCTCACAGAGTCTGCTCAGCTACATGGAGTGTCTTGTGTGCGGGTGGTAGGTGGCAAGCAGTTTTTCAAGAAGGTGCACCCCTCCGTAAGCATCATGTTAAATCCAGCTCAGTGTCAGGAATTTGTTGAGCTTCTCAAGGACAGCGACCCTTCTGGATCGATCTATAATCCAGCACCTCGCAAAGTGCTCAGCTGAATGAATGAAGAACTGAATGAGTGAGCACAGTCAGGAGGTGAAGAAGAGGCTCACCATTATCATCATCATCATCATCATCACCTGGTACCACAGAAGCAGACACTAGGAGATATATAGACAGTGCTGGCCACAGGAGCCCAAAGTTGGGAGCACTGGGGAAGGAGTCACAAAAGGTCTCTCTAGTCTTGGAACCAATGAGGCACTCAGGGGCCTGAGGTTCATCTCCTGGTAGGTCACTGACCAAGGTCAGGTTCATCTTCCTGGAGATGGAGCACGGCCCACACTCCAACAACTCAGATGTCCCACATGCAGGTCTTCCGAGCAGCATCGAGGACTTAGGACCAATGGTGCCCTTTGGTCATCCACACTCAAGGGCCGCAGAAGCAGGAGAAGGCTAGAGAGGCTTGTTCCAGGAAGGCTGTGAAATGTGGAGGAGGTCAAGCAGTGAGTGTGTGACAGTAAGCGTGCGAGTGAGCACACATGCAGGCATGTGTGAGCGTGCAAGGGTGCACGTGGCATACAGAGACTTGTGATTCTGAAGCTAAAGACAAGCATGTACAGTGCCCCGAGGGGGTCCTGGGCTCCCAAGATGAACATCATGCACTGGCCTGGCAGCCATTAGCTCCCAAGACCCGATGCGTGGACTCTTTGTAGACTCACTAGCTCCACCTCACCAAGAAGCCGTTTGTGATGTAGCCCCATGTAAATCAAAATCCCTCCATTCAATGGAAGAAATATTTCTCCTGACTAGTTGGACCAGGGTCAAGTATAAGGTTAGCGTTTCCTGGACCTTAGAGCTTTGAAATCAGGAACTTTTTTTCTTTGAGTTGAAGTCTCACTCCGTCGCCCAGGCTCAGGCGATCCTTCCGCCTCAGCCTTCCAAGTAGCCAGAACTACAGGCACGTACTACAATGCCCGGCTAATTTTTTGATTTATTGTAGAGATGAGGTCTTGTCAAGTTGCCCAGGCTGTTCTCGAACCCATGGGCTCAGGCAGTCTGCTCACCTTGGCTTCCCAAAGTGCTGGGATTACGGCCTTGAGTCATGGTGCCTGGCCAAAATCAGGCACTTTTAAACTAATTTTGCAAGGAAGAAGGGGGAAAGGACTTTTTTCTGTTTGCATCATGTAAGGCTTTAATAACTGTTTTCATCACTCATTTTCAAATTCCCATCATTCAAACTCGGTGGCTGATGCCTATAATCCCAGCACTTTAAGGAGGCCAAGAAGGAAGGATTGCTTGAGCCCAGGAGTTCAAGACCAGCCTGGGCAACATAGCAAGACCTCCTCTCTACAAAAAAAAATAAAATAAAAAATTAGCCAGATGTGGTGGCACACACCTATAGTCCCACCTATTTGAGAGCCTGAGGCCGAAGAACAGCCTGAGCCCAGAAGGTCAAGCCTGTGGTGAGCCATAATTGTGCCACTGCACTCGAGCCTGGGCAACAGAGAGCCTGACTCAAAACAAAACAAAACAAACAAACAAAAACAACAGAAAAAACCTCATCACCTAAGTTTTCAGAAAATGCAGTGATTCTGTAATAAATCAGATAGAAGAGATGTCCCAGGTGGGGAAGAAGGAATGAGAAGGAAAAGAAAACTCCCTACAATAATAAAGCTGCCAGGGACCATGAAAGCTTTCTTCTAGCTCCTCCTATAGGGGTTAATCCTGCCTGCTGGCAAGCAAGTAAAAGCAAATGGTGCTTAAACCCGTCTAAGAAATAGTTCCAAGTCACTGTCTTTCTGCCAGAGACCAAGGCCCTAATACAGAAGGTAGCCTGGGACTACCCTCCAAGAGTTCAGACAAACCCTGGGTCTTCTTGCCCTAGCCTTCAACTCAAAATACTCAAATGTGTGAATGCCAGTATGGGTGAGGGAATTTCAAATCTGAGGTGATTGCTGTTGATGGAAGCTACAACCAGGACAAGTCAGTAGCTCTTACCTTTTTTCCAAGAGGAAAAAAAGTACTTAATTTCTTCCATTTATTTCTATCTATACTTCGCATATTTAAAGTCAATTATGCCGGATGCAGTGGCTCATGTTAGTAATCCCAGCACGTTGGGAAGCTAAGGCAAGAGGATTGCTTGAGCCCAGGGGTTCAAGACCAGCTTGGGCAACACTGCAAGACTTTACCTCTAAAAAAATTTTTTTAAAAACTTAGCCGGATATGGTAGTGTGTGCCTGTAGTCCCAGCAATGCCACAGGCTGAGGCAGAAGGATCACCTGAGTCCGGGAGGTTAAGGCTGCGGTGAGCTGTGATCGTGCCCCTGCACTCCAGCCTGGTTGATCCTGACTCAATACATACATACATACACACATGTCAATTCACTCAAAAAAAAATCAGGATGCCCCATATGCAGGCCTCTTCACCTTCACCTCCCTAAGAGGGCTCACTTCACCTCTTTGGCAAACTCCCAAGCCTTCCAAGTCTGCACTGCTATCTCCCTCCCTCGGGGACAAGACTTAGAAGAGAAAGAAACTGGGAGAGGAGGGGAAGGATATGAAGAATTCCATGACAGTCTTGCCTTTTCAAGCTTCAAGGATGTCTCGGTGACGTGGGAATCTGGCATTGGCAGGGCGTCCATGACATCAGCATTTCAGATTCTTAATAAAAAGACAGCTTCTCCATAGCCAAAGGCTTCCCACCCTCTCTTTGGGGAATTGAAACACAAGCTTTTTGCATGCTGCACAAGTCTCACAGCTGCATTTGAAGAGGTTACATTTGGGTCCTGTCTTCAAGTGGCTGCCCTGGTGGACTCCCTTTGAAAGAGGCCTCTGGAGAAGTCCGGGGTAATTAAAATTTCCTGTCTAACCTTGACTGCTCTGCCAGCTCATGTTACAGCCATGGACACACACTGCAGAGTCAGTTTCTTCTGGGCCTTCTCACTCTTCTTTTAAAATCAGGCCACTATTCTCTTGGCTCAGGCTATCCAGTAACACACTTGGAAACAGGGAGGGAACTTTCTCTGGCCAGGCGGGTGATGCCTCTGGCTTCCCACACTCGTTAGAAAATTCTTTCTTCTACAACATACCACTTAGGAGCCAGGCTTATTTGTGTTGGGTCCTAAGGACACAAAGACAAACGGCACCCACTCCAAGAACCCCATAAGCTCAAGGGCTTTCAGAAGGGTCCAGTTTTTTTAAGCCTTGAAAATGTAAGAAATCCCTAAGCCAAATACTTTTAAATAGGCAAATCAAATTTAAAAGATCAAAGCATGTTTCGTATATCTGTATGAATCTATCTAGCCCTGAACAAAAAGAATGGGTCACTTTGCACTGGTCTAATCAGGTTACGCACTGCAAGGAGCCCAACGAATTAAGGTGGTATCAGAATGTGAATCTAGAAACTCTTCTTAAAAGTGAAATTCTTGCTGAAAATAAGTGTGTTTCTGGCACAAAGAGGGGGTTGTGTGAGTTCTGTTGGTTTTGTTTCTATAATTAGGTGGCGAATTCATCTGAATCAGGGTTGGGCTTTGGGAAGACTGATCTTCCTTCTGATGGAAGTGGGAATCCAGCTGGCTTTGGGTAAATCTGAGACTCTGACCTTCCTAAATCCGAGCACCTCCCTGGAAGACTCTTCTCATCTCCAGAGGTGGTGCTGCAAGGGTCGGGCAGCTCTTCTTCCTCCCTACTCAGTAGTTGAATAGTGCCCTCTCTCAAACTCCATGTGCACCCAGAACCTTGGAATGTGACCTTGTTTGGAAATCGGGTCTTTGCAGATGTAATAAATTAAGATGAGGTCAGCCCAGCATGGTGGCTCAGCCTGTAATCCCAGCACTTTGGGAGGCTGAGGCGAGTGGATTGCCTGAGCCTGCGGGTTTGAGACCAGTCTGGGCAACTTAGTGAGACCTGTCTCTACAATAAAAAAAAATTAGTCGGGCGTGGGAGCGCATGCCTGTAGTTCCAGCTACTTGGGATGCTGAGGCAGAAGGATCACTGGAGCCCAGCAGGTTGAAGCTGGGGTGGCTGTGAGCATGCCACTGCACTCTAGCCTGGGTGTCCGGGTGAGATTCCAACTCAAAAAAAAAAAAAAAAAAGATGAGGTCATGCTGGATTAGGGTGGGCCCTAAATGACTGGTGTCCTTATAAGAAGGCCATGTGAAGACACAAACACACACAGAGAAAACACCAGGTAACAATGGAGGCAGAGGTTAGACTGACACATCTATAAGTCAAGGAACGCCCAGAATTGCCAGCAACCACCAGAAGTTGGGGGAGGGAAGGAAGGATTCTTCCCTAAAGCCTTTGGAGAGAGCTTGGCTCTCCTGGCACCTTGGTCTCAGGCTTCTAGCTTCTAGAGCCAAGAGAGAATACATTCTGTTGTTTTAAGCTACACAGTTTGTGGTGTTTTATTCAGGCAGCCCTAGGAAACCAATATCCCTGGCCCAGCAGTGGTGCTAACAAGCTCCTTCAACAGAACCTAGAAGGGCAAAGCACACAGTCCCCACGGGGACCGATAACTCACCAAACTCACCCACAGCTCAAACTGTGGGTCCAATCAACTTCAAAGAATAAATCAGACTTGGCAAAATGAATTATTAAACAAGAAAGGACAACACAAAATTTACAGCTATGTGGTAGATAAGCAAAACATTGAGCCTCATGTATCACACATTAACTAGTTTAATCTCCACAACAATCCCAAAAAGGCAGGTCCTATTCTATTTCTATTGATCGAAGGGAAAACTGAAGGCTCAGAGCTTTTTGCTTGTTTTTTTCGTGTTTTTTTTTTTTTGTTTTTTGTTTTTTTTGAGTTGGAGTCTCACTCTGTTGCCCAGACTGGAGTGCAGTGGCCCGGCCACTGCAGCCTCGACCTGCTGGGCTCCAGTGATCCTTCCGCCTCAGCTTTCCAAGTAGCCGGAATTACAGGAATGCGCTACCACGCCCGGCTGATTTTTTGATTTATTGTAGAGATGAGGTCTCGCCAAGTTGCCCAGGTGGGTCTCGAACCTGCAGGCTCAGGCAATCCACTCACCTCAGCCTCCCAAAGGCGCGGGATTACAGGCTGAGCCACCGAGCCCGGCGCTTGTTTGTTTTTTTGTGTTGTGAGTTGGAGTCTCACTCTGTCTCCCAGGCTGAAGTGCAGTGGCATACTCACAATCCTTCCGCCTCAGCTTTCCAAGTAGCTGGAACTACAGACGCACACCACCATGCCCAGCTAATTTTTGTAATTTACTGTAGAGACGAGGTCTCACCAAGTTGCCCAGGCTGATCTCGAACTCCCGGACTCAGGCAATCCTCTCACCTTGGCCTCCCAAAGTGCTGGGAGCTTTTAAGTAAGATGCCCCGGGGAACCTTCCGGCTTGAACCGGGAAGCCTGGCTCCAAGTTCAAAAGACTGCTGCTGCAACAAGTAAAATTTGCAAATAATCTAATGGAAAACAAATTGGTGTGTTGTGTGTTCTTTAGGATTTTTAACATGCTTATGCTATTTATTTAGGCTGCTGTGGCCCCACTGCCACCATTAGGGATAAACCAGTTGAGACTGGGGCAGCACCAAGAGGAAGCTGGCTTAAGAGAAACTAGGCACTGATGGCATCATTTGAGTTCCTAGAGCCAGCCACACTTGAAGTCATTAAAGGCTTTTTGGTTTCATAAGCCAAATAATTCCCTTTCTGTTTATGCCGATTTTGGTTGCAAGGGACAGAAACCCTAACCTAGAGAGAACCACCATGCACAAGGGGAACTGTCAGCTCTGTCTGGGACCCCAGGCCACACACTGCCTTCTCCTTAGCTTCATCCTGGTCCAGTACCTGGTTTCTCACAGATGCTACCTTGCCTGGTCTCCCAAGACCTCCTCAGGCTGGATAGATTCCTTGTATTCCTCCAAGGCAGCCAAATGACAGATTGTTTTGCAGGAAAAACAAAAGAAGCCACAAAGCAGCCTAGAGATAAAGGCCGGTGGCTAAGATGCCCTCACCGAATCCACCTGACCCTGGAGGAACTGCAAAGACATGAGCACAGCTGAGCCAAGGCAGTGTTCCCATAAAAGGCATCACCCCAAGCAAATCAAAGGGTTTCCCACAAACCATTGCACCATCACCAACTGTTTTTTCATCGTCGCCCCCGTCGAATTATTTGGCCCTATTTGGTCCCAACTTGGCCTTCCCGAATTGCCCAACCTAGATCTGGAAAACACCAGAGAGCAGTGCCTGGACGCCAGGGATGGAGAAATCAGGGTGTTGGGGAAGCCGAGGAGGCAGAGGCTCCCAGGTGCAGACTCCACAGACGTCATGGCGCAGGGGCCAGGTAACCGCCCAGCCTCAACCAAGGCTGCGGCCACAAAGGGCCCGCCACAAGGCTTTTATTTTATTTTATTTTATTTTTTTGGAATCGGAGTCTCATTCTGGATGGAGGGCAGTGGCATGCTCACGGCCACCGCAGCCTCGACCTGCTGGTCTCGGCCGATCCTTCCGCCTCAGCCTTCCAAGTAGCTGGAACCACAGGCATGCACCGTCAGGCCCGGATAATTTTTCTTGATTTATTGTAGAGATGAGGTCTCGCCAAGTTGCCTGGGCTGGTCTCGAACCCGTAGGCTCAGACAATCCTCTCACCTCAGCCTCCCAAAGTACTGGGATTATAGGGGGGAACCACCGCGCCCGGTCCACAATGCCTTTAAATAGAACCCCTACACGGAGGACAAACACATTCCAAGCGCTTTAAAAAATGTCCCAAGCATGACCTGGCCGTCGGCCTCAGCTCCCCCAGGCATTTTTCCGCTCTCGGCACAATTCTGGAAATCATATTAATAGCCCGGTTAGGAGCTTCCGGGGTGTGAAGTGTTTCACGGCCTTAAAAGGCAGGGACAATCACTGGTCCCACTCTGCACATGAGCAAACTGAGGCCCAGGGAGGTCCCAGGCGTCAAGGCCGACGCGTGGTCTCCATCTGCCTGCCCCTTTCGCGCGGCGTCGCCCAGGCGGGCGGCTCCTCGCCCAGCAGGGCTCACAGACCAGGTCGGGAAGGAGGCCTCGCCCGGCCAGTGGCCCAGGCGGGTTCCGACGACGCCCCCCGAGGCTCCCCAGCGTCCAGAATCTCTAACAACGAGTTTAGCCAACTCCCAGGGCTCTCGGCCCCGGTGTGTACACCAGGCTCCGCGCGGCAGTCGAGGACTGACTTCCCCTTTTCGTTTTAAGAGATACAAGGACAGCAGGGGCTACTTTCTCCCTCGGGGGACACAGTCAAAGCTGGCAGGTGCGGCGCGGCGCGGCGCCGGCTCCCTTTCCTAGAAGTTGCGCTCGGGCAAATCTCGGACCCAGCGGGCGGAGGGGGCGGGACCCGCAGTCCGGCAGGGCAGCGGGCGGCTCGGGTCCGGCGGCCTCGGGGGAGCGTCTGGGCCCC